TGTGGACAAAGGACATTCTTTTGAGGACCAGAATGTCCATATTCTGGATAAAGAAAATAGGTGGTTTGAGAGGGGCGTGAAGGAAGCCATCTATATTAAGAGAGAAAACAACTTTAAACAGAGGTGGTGGACTCAGATTCCAGCTTCCAAAAACATAACATTTATTCATAGACACAATCCCTTCCAGATATCACCAAACCCCCCACCCCATCACAGAGGAACGAAGGACCTACCCGCTCCAGCCGGTGAACAATACCTCCTTAACGCCCGACTCTTAACAATCATAGAGAGGTTTCAGGTATTACAGGAGACAATCCCCCCCTTAACGGCAATCCCCCCCTTTAACGGCCGATCCTCAGAATCATAGACAGGTTTCAGATATTACAGGCTACCAATGGAACCAAAAGACCCATTCATCTGTTACCATTTGCATGTTTCCAAGCTGTACAAGGCCTTGTCCATATAAGACTCAAACTCACTGCGGATCCAGACATTTGAATGGAGAAAGCTTCCTGGAGAGGTGGAGAAACGTCTTCAAATCTTGGAAACCAAGTCCAGTTGATATTTTTGAATTTTTACTGAATCCTATCAATCATTCTGGGTTTCTCTGTCATTAGAACAAAATCTTTAATGAGTTTATTACATTGGAAATAATTCAGATCAACAATCCTGTGAAATGAACAGTTCTGATCCGTTTTCAGTTCTTCTCTAAACATCCAGTCTCTACAGCAGCTCCTTAAACACCTCATCTATATTAAAAAGATCAAACATCTGTCAAACAGCTGGATCAATCATTTTAATCTATAAATATCCAATCAGTCAATGATGAGAAAAAGCTCTATCAGATCTATTTCTGGATTAGCTGACAGACAGGTGGCGCTCTGTGACTAAATGAGGATATAAAACTGGTTGGATTCATCGGAGCTTCTGGACCAGGAGTCATCCTGTTGAACTGCTGAAGTTTTTACACTTTGGTTCACATGATTGAAATGTTCCCATTGGTCCACAGAAACATAGAAATAGGAACTAGAAGTTGTTGATGTTTGATCTCTGCTGATTGAAGATGTTTCTGAAGATGAGNAGAAACATTTTGTTAGCCTGTAGAAGTTGTTGATGTTTGATCTCTGCTGATTGAAGATGTTTCTGAAGATGAGAACTAAAATCATCTGGATAACTCCTGGAGGATTTCTCTGTCCTTCAGTTTGTCTCATTTCAAAGTGGTTTAGAGAGCAGCTCTAAGAGCAAAGCTCAGGATCAGGAAGAACTTGGAGGAGGAAGATCCTTTCCTCCTTATCTGGTTGTCATGGTGACGCTTCCTGTGCAGCTATTATGGTCTGTGTTGGTGCCATTTTCTATTTAGTAATTTACGCTCATATTCAGTTATTATTTTTGGATATGTTTAGCATTGCATATTATAGAATATTTCCGATTGCATTATAACTATGTTACTGCTTTACTATTTGTATTATTTCCTTTAGTTTTAACCTGCATTTATTTAATGCTTAGAATTATCTTCATCAACAAGCATAGTGTCATGATCTTGGCGCTGATCGTTTGGTTTTTTCCTTTGCTCCTTGCTCCCCTGTCTAATTGGTTCTGCGGCTGATTATCGCCGATCATTTTCACCTGTTTCCTCTACTATATAAGTTGTGTGTTTGCCTCCCATCAGCGCCAGGTTATTCATTTGTTTTGGTGAGACGTTTCCTGTCAATCTTTAGTCTGTCTCTTTTCCCAATTGTGACCAGTTTCTGCCTTGAGGATCTCAAGTTTTGCCTTGCCCCTGTCTGCTCTGTTTGTCGTATCTGGTTCTGGATTCTGGTTCTAGGAACTCTGGGGGCGTCGCCAGGCACGGCTGCGGTCAAACCTCCGCGAACGGACTGAACTTTGAATCAGGTCAGTGACTAGCTCAAAGTCGTATTCAGCTCCTCATCCAGTCACTGACCTGTATTCTCCTATCACCGCAGAGATCCGCCCCACAGCAGACGAGCCGCCCCGCGCACCTGTTTGTTAATAAACGCTTTGAACTTTCCAACTGCCTTTCTAGCCTTGAATTCTGGGTCCAATATTCTGAGATCATTACAGAATAATCTGGCCAAAACATGGACCCATTGGCAGACGGGCAGTGGCGAAATGTTTCAAGCATTTCCTGGCTTGAAACAGGCATGCAGGAGATCCTTGATTACCTGCGTAATCAGGCTGCTCCAGCTGCCCCGCCTGTGACAGCTGCCGCGCCCTCGTCTTCTACTGATAGTCCAGCTTCTCTCGAACCGCATCTGTCCCCTCCTGAGGTCTTTAAATTGGATCCTGATCAATGCAGAGCTTTCCTGACTCAGTGCGAGATTCATTTTGAGTTACAGCCCTCTGCTTTCCCTTCTGATCGTGCCAAGGTGGCCTACATTATATCTCTGTTAGTGGGAAAAGCCAAATTATGGGGAACATCAGAGTGGCTGAATAATCCTGAGCTCAGCAGCTCTTATGATGATTTTTCTTTTGAACTAATCCGAGTTTTTTGCACAGTTCTTCCAAGTAGGGAAGCCTCCAGGGGACTTTTGACTCTCAGGCTGGGAGATCGGTCAGTGATGGAGTACATCACTGACTTCCACCTGTTGTCTGCCTACTGTTCCTGGAATGAGGACGCCCTCATGGATGTTTTTTTCTTTGGCCTGCGGGAAAGCATCAAGGATGAGCTTTCGACCCGCGACTACCCCCGGACTCTGAAGCAGCTGGAGGACCTTTCCAACCAGATTGACCTTCACCTCACTGAGCATCACAGGGAAAGGAGAGCACTGACGACTAGGGATGGGGATCGTTAATATTTATTGATATCGATACCTTTATTGATACTCCTTATCAATCCGAGTCTTTATCGATACCACTATCGATACTTTTCTGTTATTTGGTGGAAAGACGATGCAACTAAATCTTTTTGACAGAACTGATATTGCTTTTATTGCTTAACAAGTGAGCATAACAAAAACGTTTCTAGCCTTCAATAAACATGGCTAAT